TTAGTCAATAGGGGTTTTATTGTATTTTGAGTTAATAGGCACTTACAATTCTCAAGGGTAATAAATGTGATTATTGTCAGACTTGGGTTGAAACAGGTCTGGATCTTGAGGATTCATTTTTGCGTGCTATTTATGACATAGGTTGTTTCAATATGTTTCATTCTATAATGTTTTTATAGGATGAGTCTATGACCTTTTAATGTATCATTTAAGTATAAGAAAAATTTTAAGACATAAAGTGGTTAAAATTTAGTGAACAAAGTTAACCAAAGATTGCCATTACTTTCTGTGTTTACATTTGTGTGTGTACATATTAAAACAAGATCTGAATATCCTGGTTTGAAAGCAACTGAAGGTTTATAATTATTTGTGTATATAGTTTCAACCTATGATTATAAAATATATTACTTTCCTTAGTCAAATGTAACTTTATGTTTTAGTACCCAAACTGGTTCATCCAGATACTTAAAAGTTTAGAACATACATCAATACATCACATTTCAACTAATGAGAGCAAATTGTCTTACATACACACACATTGAAGAGTTATATTCAAAGAACTCGTGTGCACTTATATCTGTACACTTCTAACACTGGTGGCATTTGGGTTATGCTATGAACGGCAAAGTTCTCACTCAATGTCATCACTTCAATTCTGACTCTCAGTGGCCCCTGTGTGTTTCAAAGACAGTACCAGGAGTGCAGTGCCCTGTCTTTGTTCTGAGAAGAAGCTGGTTTGCACCAGTTGCCCTGCGGGAGAAAGATAATGCTTTCTATTCCTGCAAAGAGGTACACTTTCCAAACACACAGGGGCAGTTCTACCCCAGCCTATGAATCACTATGAGTTGGAATCACCTCAGCGGCAGTGAGTTGAGTTTTTGGAAAAAAGTGTCAATTTGAAATCCAATTTTTTCTGGAACTATTTTCCCAATAGATTTGCATTCATTTATACAATGAACACTTCAAAAAGCAGGCACATATTTCAATATTCATGCAAAGTACATGTGTGTGGTCATTTGTGAAAAGTGGGATTTAAAAAAATTATATTTCCCATTACCTTTCTAAATTTGGGGGGACAATGAGCATCTGATAAACTCTTTGGTGGTCTAGATCTCAACAACAACAACAACAAACACAGAAAGAAAGAAGAAAGGAAGAAAGAAGAGGAAGGCTAGGGAGAAGATCAAGGCACATTTTGTATAAAAGAGTTGCTCTGGATTAATTCCCTACAAGTGGTAGATGTTTCCACTTAGATAAGGGCTAATCTTCATAGAAAGTGATTCTTACAGTTCTCGTCCATTGCCAGACATCTTGAATCCCCCAAAGGGGGTTTGGGCTGTCACCACACTATAGCAATTCACCCTGGAAAAGAAAGGAGATCAATTTAGAACATACTTAACCTATTACTAATTCCTAATTTGGGAATTTTAGAAATCAAAGAGCACCTTATGAATTCTATTGATTTTAATATGCATCATTAAGTGCAATGATAAATGTACAATAGAGACAGAGTGATAGGCAAGCTTCCTGGTGTATGGAGACAGTGGCCAAGGGACCACATGACTGAGAGGGGCTGAGAACCAGAGGAGGCTTGGCTGGTGGCTGAGGAGAGGTGTTGCTGTGGCCCAATGACCTTCTCCCTGCTGCTTACTGATTCTGACTGGTGTTAACCTACTAAGCTACCTAATAAATCCTCTCAATCGGGATGAAATACATATACAATGTTAAAAGAAGTCATCACTCTAGGTAGAAGTATATGCATCTCTATTACATAGAAATAAAGAGACTATGCATCTGTAAGTATGGACAGACATCTGGTAGTGCACTAGGTTCATGACAAGCAGTGGTCTGGATTATGGGAGAAAGAATAATGTGAGTGAAGGGTAGGTACCATTCTTTAAGAGACAGATGGAAGCAAAAGAGGAGAGGGCAGGACAGGAAGTTGGGCGATTGGGTAAGTGATTGAAATTGTTAAATGTAAGAATGATGGTATGGAATAGAAAATCCCCCTGAACTTCACTAGAAGAAGAAAGAAGAGTCAAGGTATCTTGAAGGGAAAGATAGGGTTTGCTAGAGAGTTGAGACTGCTAGGCAGGGGCTCTTTACTCTTTATGCAATAAGTTTTGTGATTTTAGTGAGTCTTGAAATTTAAACTCAAA